CTGTTATTTATTTATTTATTTTAATTATTATTTTTTAAATATTTCTGCTAGAAGGATGACTTGCAAACCTTTGGAAAGGATAGAAACAGTGTAGACATAATAAATTTTTTTTTCTGATTAGCCTGAAATTTGTGTTAGCTGATATTGGAAACTATTTTTTATTTCTTTTTTGAAAACATTAGAAACTTGACCTTGGAGTAATTATGTGCTACATCAATTCTGAGTTAATATCACTAGTTAAAAAAAAAAAAAACAGAAGTTAGCGAAAGAAAATCACACATGAAGAGGTAAAGAGAGATATAGAGAAAGACCTGAGTTCCAGGGAGCTTGGGAGAGAGGGGAGCAAATGTAGTTTGTTGCACATGGAATGATTCGTAGTTCTGTTTAATTCCTTTCTCGCATTAAAAAAAAACACATGGCATGTTGGAGCATTCAAAACGGAATCAACTCACGTGCACAAGGCCGGCGCTAAATGTGGCAAAATTGGAGGAGAAAGCTCTTTCCAGTGTAGTTCCACGCTGTGTCTGCCTCTATCCGCGTCCATGAGGTGTTCGAGGACATTGACTTGACTATAGGCATTTCTTTCAATAATGTCTTCATCTCTGCTGCAGCACACCAACCCCTGCCAAGCAAAAATAACTGCGAAACAACTCCTCCAGCTCAAGCCTTCACCGTACACGCGTTCTCTGTAGTACCAATTAATGGGTGACAGGACATCCATTGAAGCCCCCTCCTCAAGAACTTGGAAGTACCAAGTGTTTGTGTTCTTGAGCTTCAGAGGTGAAGACACACGCAAGGGCTTCACAGGCCACCTCCACGCCGCATTATCTGATGCCGGAATCCGCGCCTTTCTTGACGACAACGAGCTAGAAAGAGCGGAATTTATAAAAAACCAACTGGAGCAGGCAATCCACGGGTCCATGATCTCGATAATTGTCTTCTCAAAGCGGTATGCCGATTCCAGTTGGTGTCTTGATGAGCTGGTGAAGATCATGGAGTGTAGAGAGAGATTGGGGCAAAAGGTTATTCCATTGTTCTATAATGTTGATCCTTCAGATGTCCGGAAACAGACTGGTAGTTTTGCACAAGCATTTGAGAAACATGAAGCGGGCATCTGTGAAGGTAAACATGAGAAAGAAAAGGTACAGCGGTGGAGAAATGCTCTCACTCAAGCTGCAGATTTGTGTGGGGAAGATCTTAAAAATGCTGACAATGGGTAATTACTAATTTCTTGTTCCTTGGATTATCATCTCCTTAAAAATGTTCTGTTTTGTTTTTCCAACTATGTTTTTACTATGCATTCTTTCTTTTTGACTTTGAACTTTGGTGTTTGTTTGTATGGTTTGGTTTGGTTTGGTTTGAACTATGCATTCTTTCTTACTTGATAATGTTAAATCCCCATATTCTTAATTATATCTTGATTCTAAATTATAAAGTTAGGGATTCAATTTAACCTTGTAGTTTGTTCCACATCGAATGATTCGTAGTTCTGCTTCTTTGTTTAATTGTCAGGCATGAAGCAAAGTTTATCAAGAAAATTCTTGGGGAGGTTAATAAGCATTTGTACAGCAAATACCAATTAGACATCGAACACCTTGTTGGAATTACTTCTCGGCTGGAGGTTTTGCGTAATCACTTAGATATTGAAAATTCAGGTTCTAAGGATGTTGTTCGCATGATTGGTATTTGGGGGATGGGCGGCATTGGGAAAACAACGCTTGCCAAAGCCATTTATAACAAATTTGAAGATAGCTTTGAAGGTAGGAGTTTCCTTGCAAACGTGAGGGAAGTAATTGCACACCAACCCATTAATGGTCTGGTTGGTTTGCAAGAACAACTTCTAAATGATGTCTTGAAAAGCAAGAATCCCATAAAGGTTGGCTCTGCTGCTATAGGGATCAATATGATAAGAGAAAGACTTTGCTGTAAAAGAGCACTTGTCATAATTGACGATGCAGATGATCTACAGCAACTAAAAGCAATAGCTAGAGCTCGTCATTGGTTTGGTCCTGGAAGTAGAATTGTTATAACAACAAGAAATCAACGTTTGCTAGACCAAGTTGGAGTGGATAGCACATATATGGCTCAAGCAATGGATGAAAAAGAAGCTCTAGAGCTCTTTAGTAGGCATGCCTTCGAAAGTGGTTATCCTAATCAAGAATATCTTGACCTCTCAAAACGTGTAATTCGTTACTGTCGAGGCTTGCCACTAGCTCTTGAAGTTGTAGGGTCTTTTCTGATTAAAAGATCCACAGCGGAGTGGAAAAGCCATTTGGAGAAATTGGAAAGAAGTCCTGATGGAGATATTCAAAAAATACTCAGAATAAGCTTTGACGGGCTACCTGATGATGCAACGAGAGAGATATTCCTTGATATATCTTGTTTCTTTATAGGAATGGGCAAGCACTATGTAACACAAGTATTAGATGGATGTGGCTTTTTTGCAACGATAGGAATCATTGTCCTCATTGAACGGTGCCTTGTAACTGTTAGTAAGCAAAACGAGTTGATGATGCATGATTTGCTTCGAGACATGGGAAGAGACATTGTTCATAAAAAAGCCCACGGTCGCCCTGAAAAGTTTTGCAGATTGTGGAAACGTGAAGACGTAACAGATGTATTGAGCGATGAATCTGTAAGTACTTTCCCAGTAAAGTTTTAGAATGCATCATGCAAGAGAAGCATATGTACCCCGTACGTCTATAATAAATTAGAATGTCCTTTTTCATTTTTTGTTTGTTTAGTACAAGCGATAGTCTATACCAAAGTAAAAAGAGGGTTTTCACAAATCCACACTACCAAGGTGCCATATGAATTTGAACCCGAGACCTTAGTTTGCAAGTTTAGATCATTTTTCACTTCGCTAGACCCCGTTGCCATTTCTTATATTATATCCACTAAGATCAAAGCTCAATTAGGCATAGCCAACAAAAAAAAATATGTACTTTGATTGCAAACACATACTATAGGGCGTAACATGGTCCAATACTATTAATTATACCTTTTGGTTAATACATACACGGATTTTTCATGTTTGTAAATCATTTTTCTAACTCGGTATCTTTTGTTAACAGGGAACTAAAAAAATTGAAGGAGTTGCTCTACATTTGGATTCGGATCTAGATTTGACTAGATTCAATGCACAAGCATTTACCAGCATGAAAAAACTGAGGTTACTCCACCTCAGCGGAGTAGAGCTCACTGGAGAGTACAAAGATTTTCCCAAAAAGTTAATATGGTTGTGCTGGCATT